CCGCCGTTGACCAACAGATGACAAATAAATTAGCCATTACTCACCCCATGGTCGCTGCTTCGCCGCTCTTCCTCTCGGCCCCCTCGCCACCCACCGTGGCTGCCATCGTTGCTTCCACCGTTGTCTCCTCGTCGCACACTCGCGCACAATTTAAGTTTCACTCGCGCACTATTTTTACTCGCGCATCGTTTTTACTCGAGCACAATTTTTACTCGCGCACCATTTTTACTCGCGCACAATTTAAGTTTCACTCGCACACCATTTTTACTCGGGCACAATTTAAGTTTCACTCGCACACCATTTTTACTCGGGCACAATTTAAGTTTCACTCGCGCACCACTTTTACTCGCGCACCATTTTTACTCGCGCACAAGTTTCACTGGCGCACAATTTCCACTCGCGAAAGCCTCGTCAATCCGAAATATCGGCGATACACCACGTTACCGGCGCGCGTTCGCGAACGATCGATAATGTCTCGCGTCACTTCACCCGCGTCGTATCGTCCTAAGTTGCCGGTAATCGGGTTAAGTTTCCGTGTACTATTTGCGAACGTATGTCGTGGTCGTTAATGGAACGCCGCGGCACGGGGGATCCACTCCAAATCGAGAGGCGTTCGGCATTCGATTAGCAAGCCGTTCCGGTTTGTCGATTCTGCACTTCACGTCTTGACGCTGGACCAAGCGACTCCGCGCGTTCGTACGTCCAATATTTGATAATAAATCGCGCGAGCACACCGGCGTCCCCCGGCACGAACGAACAAACGTTTTCGACAGCGCGCCCCACCATTTCTGCCGCACTTTCGTTCTCGCGGTTCAACACATTTTTTGCGTCCAATTATTCGCGCAACATTGTCATCGACGCCACGCACTTAAGTAAACCGCTCACCAAAATCTTGCACACCAAGCCCGGACGCCTAACGCCAGAAAAATGTCCAGTAACACTCAGTAATGCCGCGAACCTGTACACCACAATGCCCTCGGCGGTTTCCCCCTCGGAGAAATCGCTTCTGAAGTTAGTTGCGCCGTTTCTGCACTTCCTCCGCCGTTCCAGATCCTTCTTTCTGTCCAAGCAGCGCCGGATTCCCGCCAATTCCCGCGTCGGGGCCAACAGGAGGGTTTCGAATCGGCGATTTCGCGTACCGCAGGCATCGAACGCGTCGACATGTAGATTGGACTGCCCGTCGCGATAGACAGACGTGCCGCTCGCTGGAATCTCATTGGCCGCGATCGAATCGACGTCATTGGGGGTCGAAAACGTCAGTCTGTCGAAAGTATTTGAGTTTCGGAACTTTACTTTTGCGGTAAATCACCGCGTCCGGCTGCGCTCAGGAACGTCGTCCATCGGTCGCCCCGCTGTATCATTCATAGACATAGTAAATGTAGACCGAGCGTCCCGTTGAATGAGCTGAAGTGAGCATTTAACAATTACTTGGTGAAACGGGAGCTAAGCTGCCTTCCTCTTCTACCGAGGGCAGCGAATCCCAGCAAGAGATAATTCGCCGATCGATGTCGAATCGACGAATTTGCGAATGGGAACGTGACGATACGCGAAGTCACGGAGCGGCACGCGCCGCCGTCCGTACGCCTCGAGCTTACCCGAGTGAATGATACGCACGACGACTCTGCGTAAACAAGGTCGTAACCGCCCGGCGCCGCTGAAAAAACAAACGGCCGACCGAACGCTCGCCTTTGTGTGTATTAGCATCGGCGTAAATACCGGCGGCAGTTTGCCACCAGGAATTCCGGGAGATATACTCGGTGTGTATTCACGAAACAATTAACGTCTTACGAAGCGAATTATGTTCTAATCAGTGGCCCTGCGTTTCGCGTCTGTATCGATAGACGCTATTGATATATATCGTTCGCACTTACGCGAGACGATCGACTCCTTTCACTCCGCGCCGCCCTGCCGGAAATAATTCTACAAAATTCTGCAAAATAATTAAATATAACTGCCAGAATCTAAGGAACTCTATTATTTAGTATACAATACGTAAATAATCCATTTCCTATTAATTGACGCGAATATAATTGTCGAAGGAACTTAATAAAAATTATATTACATATAAATTTACACGCAAAATTGAGAACGTTACCGAAAAATCCGGAATTTGCTAGTGTCGTCAGTAATTTTCTT